AGCATTCCGCCGTCGAATAGCGCAGAAACGAAATTCCAGCGAGGAAGGAATTCGCTTGAATCAATTTGACTATATTCAGGTACAAACAGAGAAGGATTAAATAGTTCTAGCTAGCAAGGACCTTGGGAATCAACCTGGGAACAACCAGGGATGATCCCAAATAATTCCAAGCAACAGAACCAACCTGGCTGGACAAAATAGCAGGTGGTAGGTTGGTAAACAACCTCTGGTTCTGTTTTTCCAACCTGGGAAAACAACAACCAGGTTCAGGTTCTAAAAACAGAACCTGTTTTGTCTTTGCCCAACCAGCCAAATGCTGGTTCCGCTGGTTTCCCCTGGCCTTGTAGCATGCAGATACAGACAAACAACATCCAACCTTCACCTAAATTGTACCCCTATAGTGCCTTCCCTGCTACACTATAGTTAACCAAACAAAACAGTACAATTTCGAGTTGGATAGAACTGAATCTGCGCAATCAACTCAACCGAACTGCAAAGCTTCCATCTTGGGTTCCTTTGCGAGCTCGTCCTTTCTGCTTGCACTGTTCATAGCGCGTACAATGTTGTGCCGAAGCGCACATTGCGCGAGTACCTGCAAATGCATCAAGCGAAAATTGTGAAAGCAAACAAACACACGAACATTCCATTCACACCCAAATGCATTCGCACACGCATACTCGTACAAACAGACGGCAGGATGTCGTGCAATGTGCATTTGCACCCAACAGGAGGCAGAGACCGAGGAAGACCAGTGACCAGGAGGCGAGAATGCATGCCACGAAGGCGTGGCAGGGAGGGGTGACCAAGGCGGTGGTGCCAAAGGAGAGTCTGGTGGGACAGGTGGCGACACTCGCAGGGGGCTGCTACCTGACCCGACGCGAACACCTGAGCAGACGCAACGACTTGAGGCGGCGCAGTTGTCAATGTGTACAGACTCGACTCAGGCCGACGAGTGAACGTGGCCGGGTGACGGCCAGTCCGGGAGCACGTGCAGATCGCCACACGCTGTCGTCCAGGGGTGAAGGTATCAACTCCCGCATCCTGAAGGACCGCGGTGCTCACCAAGTTCGTCGAGAACGAGGGGAGGTGGAGACCTGACAGTGAGCCGGACGGAACGGCCGGACACGAGAGCACAGTGGAGGAACGTGCAAGAACTGGGCCCCCAGAGGGGTCAGCCAGGGAAACTGCAACGGGTCTAGTGAGTGGGGTGACTGTGATACTGTCACGAAAGAAACAGCGAGAAGCACCTGAGTGAAGCGTGAAGGTGTGCAAGGCCTCAGCAGGAGCAGTACCAGAGGGAGCATACATGCCAGCAATAATAGCATCAAAGTCAAGAGCAAAGATATCAACACCAGATTTAAGCAGCTCTGCCCAGCGGGGCATCTCAATCTCCTCGCCAAACTTTGTGCGCCAACGTCGTCGAGGCGGGAGAAGCAGCGGTGCTGGGTGTGGAACTTCCCGCACGTCTGACCAGCACGGTCACCTGTGCGAATGACGTACGGGCAGCGACCACTACTCCCAGGCTGCCCACGTTGCAAAAGCCACTCACGAAGCTGCTGGGGCGTAAGGGTCTCACGGGGACGCTGCTGCTGTTGTCGCTGCAGGGGCGGCGCGCGGGGCTGCAGAGGCAGCGTGCGGGCTGCAGGGGCGGCCCGCGGGGCTGCAAGGGGAGCGCGCGGGCTGCAGGGGGCAGCGTGAGGGCTGCAGGGGCGGCGCGCGGGGCGACAGAGGCAGCGCGCGGGCTGCAGGGGCGGCGCGCGGGGCTGCAAGGGCAGCGCGCGGGCGGCAGAGGCAGCGCGCGGGGCTGCAGAGGCAACGCGAGGGCTGCAGGGGCGGCGCGCGGGGCGGCAGAGGCAGCGCGCGGGCTGCAAGGGCGGCGCGCGGGGCTGCAAGGGCAGCGCGCGGGCTGCAAGGGCGGCGCGCGGGGCTGCAGCGGCGGCGCGAGGGCTGCAGGGGCGGCGCGCGGGGCGGCAGAGGCAGCGCGCAGGCTGCAGGGGCGGCGCTCGGGGCTGCAAGGGCAGTGCGCGGGGCTGCAGAGGCAGCGCGAGGGCTGCAGGGGCGGCGCGCGGGGCGGCAGAGGCAGCGCACGGGCTGCAGGGGCAGCGCGCGGGGCTACAGGGGCGGCGCGCGGGCTGCAAGGGCGGCGCGCGGGGCTGCAGGCAGGCGGCGCGCGAGGGCGGGGCAGGGCAGGGCAGTGCGTGGGGTAGCGCGGTAACCGCAGACGGTTACTAAGCTACCGGTGGGCCCGAAAAAGAACGGTCCTACGGACCTACTGCTCTGATACAAACAGGAACGAATGTGTGCATTGTGCAGAAATAAGATACAAATATGCTTAACCCTAATTGGGTTGTACCCCTTATGGGCTACCCCACTATAGCCTACACAATATATTTTGACATAATTCTCCCAATTGTTGAGGTGGAGCACACAATAATAGTGGTGCAAGTCCAGTTTCCCAACGATTGTGATCTGCTCTTTAACTATAAGCTGCATGGTACCGTGGCATGTTTCCACAAGTTTCAATACCGTAGCACATCAGTAGCAACTCTGCTATTATGATTCCAAGGATTGCCTTGCCTAGCTGCCTTTGACCATCTTGCAGTGTTCCATCCACAGTGCTAGAAAACGTTTGTACAGTAGGTACGCGCTTGAATTTTTCTCTGTAGTTATCGCATCAAGCACCATCCCAATCGCATCAAGCACCATCCCTGACAGCCTTGACCCACGCAACCTCCAGCCTAAACGGGCCCTCGCCATGCACTGGAAACGCGTCAGACTCAACGTCAGCAGCATCAGGACACAAATCAGTGCCCGCCGCAGCAGTATCATCATCAGGCGTGGCTTCACCAATGTGAGGGGGGTGTGTGAGCGGGGCAGTGGCACTGAAATGCGGAAAGTGCACGGGTGGGGCGCTGACGTTGACTGATATCCCCATGCCCACCACCCTCCTCGCATTCATCTGCATCCCTCCACCACCACTGCCCCCTCCCCCCTCGCTTCCTCTGCCTCTCCCCCCGCCGCCGCCCACCACCCTGCCTTTCCATGTAAGGCGGTAGCTGGACAGAGGGATCTGGAGGAGGGGGAGAAGGGGTGAAGTGGAGTGGGGGGGAAGTGGGGAATGATCATTGGTTAAGGGAGGGAGGTTGAGGTGGTTGAGAGAGTGGGGAGGGGTGCTGACGTTGACTGATAGACCCATGCCCACCACCCTCCTCGCATTCATCTGTGTCTCACCACCACCCACCACCACCACCACCACCACCACCACCACCACCACCACCACCACCACCACCACCACCACCACCACCACCACCACCACCACTGCTGCTACTCTCTCCCCTTCCGCCTCGCTCTCTCCCCCCACCGCCGCCTGCCCACCACCCTGCCCTTCCATGTAAAGCGGTAGCTGGCAAGGGGAATCTGTGGGAAGGGAGGGAGAGGGGAGAGGATTATTGTATGACTCACCTTCAACCATGTATGCATTTTGATTATTCAAACGAACGACTGTTCAGGGAGAGGAAAGGATGGAACGAGGGGGAAGGAGAGATATACTTTATGCATTACCCCACCACCCTGCCCTTCCATCTAAGGCAGTAACTGGTAAGGGGAATCTGTGAGCGGGGGGAGAAGAGAAGAGGGGGATGGATAGAAATAGCTGACGCCCTACCCCATCACCCTGCCTTTCCAGGTCAGGAGCGGAGGGGAGGAGGGGGAGGGAAAGGGGGAGGGGGAAACGAAACATGAAGAATCGGGGGAGGAAAGCTTTTGAGCTTTTGAGACGTCTCACAAGAGGTTGTTTGAGCACGCCCCTTGACGATTCTCCTCGCCACCCTGACCTTCCACGTCAGGTGTGCTCCTCACTGCCCGCTCTCTGAGATGCGTGTAAGAAACTGCAGCCCTCTGTGCGGGGAGCAATGGGATCCAGCCTATTACCTACCTACACCGCTCTTCACCCCTTTATTCTCACCTGCACCACTCCCCACCGCCCTCGTGGCGAGGGCAGGAACGCCTGCCACGTGTTCTCCTCACTGCCTGCTGGCCCGCCCACCCACCCCTCTGTGCGTAACTGATAGTGAGAGGGGAGAAGTAGGGCAGAAGAAGGGAGGAGCAGGGAGGAGCGGGGCGGGTGGAGAGTTGCAGAGAGAGAGAGCTGTAAGGTCACAACACCCCCACTCTGCCATGTGTTCTCCTCACTGCCTGCTGCCCCCCCCGCCCCTCCGTGCGCAGCTGAAAGGGAGGGGGGCGATGACAGCAGGAGAGAGAAGGGGAGAGGAAGAGAGAAAGACAGAGCCCGTAAGAGTAATTCGAAGCTATCTTAAAACACCCTGTAAGGTCGCACCCATCTTATCTACCAGGCATGAAAAGCTGACAGAGAGGAAAGAAGGGGGAAGAGGAGAGGAGAGAGGAGAGGGGAAGAGAGAGCAAGAGGGAGGAGTAAAAGATAGAGGTGCAAGGTGGCACTCCGTTTTCTCCCCTCTCTGTCATCCACCCCACGCCCACCCACCCCTCTGTGCGCAGTTGACAGAGAGGGGAGAAAACGGAGGGGAGACGAGAGTGGGATGTGTGAGAGAGTGAGAAAAGCGGGAAGGAGGGAGTAATCGGTACCACACACAAGAGGACAGCAGGGCAGAGGGGTGGAGAGGAGTGCAGTGTAGTATAATGATGAGAGAGGGGAGGGCATACTGGCGGATGTAGGAGCTACTGGGTAAGATGGGAGCGCGGCAAGGGTAGGGGGAGGGGGAGGGGGGAAGGGGAAGGGGAGGGGGAAGGGGAGGAAAAGGGGTAGGGTGGGGGAAGGGGGAGGAAGAGAGGGAGGGCGTACGGTGGAGAGGTAGGTGCGGCCGTCCCCCCGCACGAGCAGGTGCAGCGAGGAGAAGGCGTCCAGGTCAAGGCGGCAGGATGCATGCGCCTGGGGGAGCGGGGAAGTGCCACACACACAGCTGGCAAACCTTTTTACTTCTCTCTTTCGGTTCAATATTTGAGTCTACTCAAGAACAGACTCTTCAACGGCACATCTGAACCCCATGGCTCACCTCGACCGTTCGAATGCCAGCGAAGCCACCCTTGAGCAGCCGCCCTCCCCGCCCTCCCTGCCCTCCACCTTCCACACCCTCCCCCTGCTCCTCCCCCCGCACGTGTCGGGACAAGCTGCCTGCAAACACGGCTGTGGAGGCACGGGAGAGACATACGGGGCACATGGGGCGCATGGGGCACATGGGGCCAATGGGGCACATGGGGCCAATGGGGCACATGGGGCCAATGGGGCACATGGGGCCAATGGGGCACATGGGGTACATGGGGTACATGAGGCAGAAGAGCACATTGGAACCCCGAGAGCCTTGAGATGTGAACTGGCCCCGGTTCACAACCCCTGTGAACTGGCCCCGGTTCACAACCCCTGTGACCTGGCCCCGGTTCACAACCCCTGTGAACTGGCCCCAATTCACAACCCCTGTGAACTGGCCCCGGTTCACAACCCCTGTGACCCTGAGAGCCTTGGAAACCCGAGAGCCTTGAGCCTTGAGCCTTGAGCCTTGTTCACACTCAGCTGCGTTGCTAGCACCCTCAGCTGCGTTGCTAGCACCCTCAGCTGCGTTGCTAGCACCCTCAGCTGCGTTGCTAGCACCCTCAGCTGCGATGCTAGCACCCTCAGCTGCGTTGCTAGCACCCTCAGCTGCTTTCCTAGCACCCTCAGCTGCGTTGCTAGCACGCTCAGCTGCGTTGCTAGCACGCTCGGCTGCGTTGCTAGCACGCTCAGCTGCGTTGCTAGCGCGCTCAGCTGCGTTGCTAGCACGCTCAGCTGTGTTACTAGCGCGCTCAGCTGCGTTGCTAGCACTCTCAGCTGCGTTGCTAGCACCCTCAGCTGCGTTGCTAGCACGCTCAGCTGCGTCGCTAGCACGCTCAGCTGCGTCGCCAGCATGCTCAGCTGCGTTGCTAGCACCCTCAGCTGCGTCGCTAGCACGCTCGGCTGCGTCGCTAGCACCCTCAGCTGCGTCGCTAGCACACTCAGCTGCGTTGCTAGCACGCTCAGCTGCGTTGCTAGCACGCTCAGCTGCGTTGCTAGCACGCTCAGCTGCGTTGCTAGCACGCCCAGCTGCGTTGCTAGCACGCTCAGCTGCGTTGCTAGCACGCTCAGCTGCGTCGCTAGCACGCTCAGATGCGTTGCTAGCACGCTCAGCTGCGTTGCTAGCACGCCCAGCTGCGTTGCTAGCACGCTCAGCTGCGTTGCTAGCACGCTCAGCTGCGTTGCTAGCACAATGGTGAGAAGGGAGTGAGGGAGAAGAGAGGGAGGAGAGAGGGGAGAAGGCAGGAGACGGGGAAAGGAACTCACCAAAGGAGGAGGGAGGTTGGAAGTGATGGTGCTGCTGCCGGCGCATAGCTCGTGCCTCCCAGCCGTGCTGGGTGGGTGGGTGAGGTGGGTGCACTATCCCTGCTCTGCCATCCACTCTCTCTCTGCCCGTCATGTCTCCACGCCCCTGATTCCCGCCCATGCCTGAAAGCTCCGTGCCCGACCCTGCAGGCTCGGCGCTGCCGAACGTGGCATGGGCGAGGGTGGCGGTTGACGAACCTGACGGGCGGCAGGTTGGGAAGTTGAGGGGCGGAGGAGAGAAGGACAGAGGGACTTGGAGGTCTTGTGCTGGTAAGAATGTGAGGGTGGGAAGGAAAGGTATAAACATAGCTACACACACAGCACCTCACAGCACCCCGCAGAACCTCGCAGCACCCAGGCGCACACCGTCTCACCGCCGTAGATGGCGTCGGAATACACGCGCCACGCGTCCATCGCGCCCTGCGCGCCGCTCCGCTCGTCCCGAGCGCCCGCCCTCGCGAAGTGGAACAGCACGCGCTCACTGGGCGGCTGCAGCTCTTCCACCCGCCATGCCACCGCTGGGCGCAGGCAGGGGACGGCAGGAGTGGAGGGTGGAGAGCGATGGGTTGGGACGCATAAGAGGGATTACTGCGGAAATAGGGCACGCTGCGAAAATTGCTGCGGACATCGGTGTGAATGCGAAGCGCGGAAAACGGCCAACCGTGAGGTGCGCAATAGCGGCGTACCTCGTCGCGATGCCGCTGACGCGGCTTCTGCAAGGCGCTTCCACATCGGAAAGGACTGAAGCTAATCCATGGGGTGGTAGGTGCAGTCAGATATTTAAACTAATTTTTTCTTTTTGCTACTATTTTTTACCTCCTGTGTCGAGTTGGCCGAGTTGTTCCAGTCCGAAAGGGCGTGGGTTCAAATCCCACCCTCGACAGCGCGTTTTTTTGCATCCCTACATCTGGAAGACACTCCTGGAAGTTTGTTCCCTTCCAGCTTTGCCTCTGGAGACTGCACTTATGCCAAGTTTTACATCAACATTGCCGCTAGCTTCTTGGAGTCCAGCCCCATTTAGACAACATCCCTTACCATCCATTCCTTGCGTTTTCCTCTGTGCTACCGCCCCTCTCCACACAAAGCTACACCAACATCTCAATCCAGTGACCTTCGGAATGATCCATGGCTGGCATTGCATCTTGGTACGGTACCAGGTCTTTGACAATAACTAAAATCACTACTACGAGTGTGTCCAGTACAATCTACACCTAAACTAAGGGTGCATAACTGCAGTGGCTGTTGGATAGAAATGGTGCATAAAGTAAGCCACGAAAATCCCCACAAGAGCTCCTGCCACCACCTGCAGAAAAAATAGCGTTGTGCAAGAGATGGGAGCGTAAGCCAATCAGAAACATGGCGACTTGTAACAATGTACCAAAACCTCAAGCTCATAACAGCATGGGCTAGTGGTAAGCTGAAGAGATGTGGGAACCTGGGTTCTTGTAGTGTGCTTCACCTCTACGAACTTACACCTGCACATGCCTGGTACCATGCAATATACTGATGACTTGCTTGCATTGCGACGCGTTTCATACCTGGCAACCTTGATAATGATTACCCAATGACTTGTAATGCTGTAGCCTTGATAACTTGGGTGCGTACCTTTTTGCATTCATACCTGTGATGAAGTCTGTAAAAGACTGTGGTGAGTGTGGTAACAGCACATATGCCTGTGGTAGAGTGTGGAAACTGCGCATATGCCTGTCGTAGAGTGTGGTAGCCGCGTGCCTACCTGAGGCTGTGTGTGTCCAATGGGTTCTTTGAGAGGCCGAGACTCAGCCAGGGGATGGTCTGGTGGCAGCTCATACACGATCTGGTTCAGGACCTGTAAGGAGGGCAATTAGGTAGCAGAATAAGAGGCGAAATTTCAGTGCTTTCATTACCCATGCGGTTCAAAATGGGAATGGCTTGAGCATGGATGAGCAATTCCATGGGCAAGGTGGGGGGAGTGAGAGACAATGTGGAATGGGTACCACTATGTGAAGGTGCCGACATGATGTGGGATGACGATCATCTCATCTCAGAGGATTTAAGCAATGATTTTGCTGGATCAATGCACAGTGACATGACCTGACAAGACTCAGTCAAAGCCACAGCATTCCCCCTTGCCACGCATACTTCACAATTCCCTCTGCATGCTCTTCACATAGACAATTTGCTGCTTTTCTCGAGCTGTTTAGTTGCACCCCGAGGAAATTTACCTCTGCTTGCCGGCCTGCCTGAAGCCGAACACCCGAGGCGTCATACATGACCTGCAGTGCGCGAAGAAACATCCGCGAAACGCAGTCAGCATGCAATTTCGACTTGAATTAAACTCGCGTTCCCGTACGAGCGAAGGGGGCTTAAGCGGCGGTAACGTAGATGCTCAGCACGTGAAAGTAACAGGGAAAAAGGAAGGTTCCAGGGGACTTACAACGACGGCGAAAACGAGGCACGCGGCGAATAACGGGCTGGCCGTGCCTTCTTGGAAGGCGACAGCGCACGCCAGACCCATGACGGACGACGAATGCGACGAGGGCATGCCGCCGGATCCTAAAATTCGCTTGAAATCCCATCGCTTCTCCCAGTGCCTGCTCACGGTTGAAACGGAGTAGAGAGCATAGACGAATTTGCGGGAAACTGTGCCTTGATCCTATTGGGTGTACTTCATAACCAGGTTTCTCAAAAGCCACGAGCGAAAACGAGCTGATCCACACGTGGCGTTGGAATGTCAGCAACGAACGCGGGTTGACGCATTCGCGCCCTAATCATATTGGTTAAGTGAGCCAGCGTATCGAGATATATAGAATGCGACGTCGTTGAACGGAGACGTGAACCATTTGTTGTAGCAGTAACGAGGAAACCAAAAATACTTCAGTTTTGGATGATCTTCAACGCGATTCCGAAGAGAGATGCTCAGACGATACCTACCATAATGTAAAAGGCTTGAGGAATTGCGCGACCCAGAGGGAGATAAACGCAACAATCAGCGGCCGGTTTTGGAAGATCATCATGAATCCTTGGTGAGAGGGGAGTAGGAGGGAGAACTTGGAAGGTCCTGCGGCATCAGCAATAACAGCTACTTCTTCCATTCCGACCTATTGACTCTTAAATATATATCTGTGGACCCTGGTTGATAGGGGGAACTGATCAGGCCAGCTTAATCCTGCTGAAAGGCAGGCTCACTGGCCTTGCTCGTTGAATCTCCTCTCGCAAGCTCTAGCTAACCGTAACTCCTTGCTGCACACAGCACAACACCGACGAATCTCAAATGCTTGTTCTCTTCCTCGAAACTATCTGGCTGCGTGAGAGTGTGTCTGTCATCTCCCTGATGCCTAGAGCTTGCCACTTCCTATTTTCACCTCCCCAATGCTCAGCGAATCTGCTCCTTGGATTTCCTTCCTTCCGCCAACGGTTACTCTAAAGAAATGGACCAATCGAATTCCACAGTTTCCCAGGCAAGTTTCGTGAGGTTCCGGTGAACCGCGAAAACATGCTCACACTGTCACACTAAACAGATCGGACGGCCGCGATTGTTGCGATGGCCGGAGTGTGTGTCATTAGCCGATAAAACTGCTGGGCTTGTAACGCAGTGATGGTTGTTTCCCAGTTCTGTTCCACCAGTATTCCAACAAATGGATATCAATTGGCCATAAGAACTGATGTTTCATTTTATCATCCAGAAATATCAAATTATGCATAATCAATCACGGTATTTTTGTAATATTTTTAATAGAACTCAAATCAGACGTGTATTCACTAGTTGGTAAGAATGCTTTTTCAGAAATATACTCATACCAATTCTTGTGTACTGCAATGCCACCGCTTCTGATTGATTATGAATGGGTTGACCCAGTGGTACCAGCAGGAGGCAGAAGATCAGTTCCTTGGCCAAATCAACGACGAGTAACAGCAAAGATGCGAAGCGGAGACCTTTCGCCACCTTCGCCCATTTTACGCAAACCTTTCCAACCACACGCCAGCGTCAGAGAGTAGATCAGCTCAACCCCCATATCTCAATCGCAGCCGCTTGCCAAGAATCTGTATCCACGGCTAGGATTCACTTCGCTCCTAGTGGCTGGAACCACAACTTCAAATTCAAGCCATTGGGCTTGCCGCGTTCCAAACTGACACGATCACCCCGCGGCTCCAGATGAGAGGACAATCGACGGCTCTTAGATCACGGGTCCAACGTTCACCAGCGAAATCCCGCAGCTCCCGCCTTTGTCAACGGAATCTCGCTGAAAAGAGTCGGTGCTTTTCGTCTCTTATAGCCGCTGAGGTGTGAACGAGGGGACATGCGAACGGCGTAAACTTGGCATTATATTTTCGCTTCCCTGACCTGTAGGGATTCATGTGCCACGCGGACGATTTTCAACCAGCCATTGAAGTGGAGTCTCGAATCTCCCTCTCATGAACAAGCATTGAGCCTGACCGGACGAACCATTCGCATCCACTGTTGCTGTTCGTCGGAAACCCAACACAGCCGGTTAACCTGTAGACCAATAAGTGAGTAGAGTTGCCCTGACGAAACAGGCAATAGGTCCGAACCTACGGCTGCGATCTGCGTTACCAACAAAGTTTCAGACAATCCAGTGATTCTGGACGGTAGATCTGAAGAGGGTTGTTGTGAGGAAAGGAGAGGAGAGGCAGTTGGCGCCCCTCCGCCTCACCGTCGTCTCTCGTCTCATTCTCGCCTGAGCCTCGGATTTCACACCGCTTTCGCCTCTAGCTCTCATCATTTTCTCACGCTCAGCTTCTACTGCTCGTTTTCTTCGAGCTGCTGCGACTGCGAATAGGCGAGGCGTTAGCGAAGCTCATTTTCAACACAAGCGAGAAGAATATGTCTGGTTTTATTGGAGAAGCTGCGTTTACCGGAAGAGAAATTCGGGTTTCCGTGTCATGAAGCCTCGAAACTCTGGATAATACATACGAACAGTAAAGGAATTACGTCATCCGCGCATAATTACCCAGGCGAGCGGGCGGGAGAAGTGACGTCAGACGGCCATCCGCGCCACCGGCTCCGAAGTCCCTCCTGGTCCGAAGTTGTCCCTTGGGAGCTCCGAAGTTCCTTCGGACCGACAACCCCCGGGATTTCATCCGGGTTACAAATCGTCCCATTGGACCACGTGTTGCGCGGAACTCGAGGGGAACTCTGGTTCCGCGTTCGCGCAACACATGTCACGATATGAAATGTCGTGAAAAACTGAAGTGTCGGAGCATCAGTGGTCGACGACGAAATTCAGGGTCGTGATCTCGCAGACAGTTACGAGATACAGTCGCAGACTCCTGATCCTATGGCCATCTATTTCCGCGATAAGTGTGCGAAAGAAGATCTGACGCTTTACGACCGCTGACGAGGGCGAGTAAGTATTTCATCAAGACGTTTCGTACATGCATCCCCGCGAAATACATTTCGTGTCTGCGAATTTCATGTTCTGGCACAGCATTCCGCGCGCCCCACGAAACTTGGGATGGGAAACGCACGGGCATGGGGAATTTCCTCGCACGAGAAAATTCCTGATAATATTTATCTCTACAAAGAACGAGTTCACCCGCGTGAAATCGTCTACGTGAATGACAAACTCCGCGAAACCGTCTAAGGAACACCTCCCCGACTTCCAAACCAGCTCCCGCGTGCGAAAAAGAAAACTAGAACTACCGTGGTCAAATTCTTAACCATTTCCAACCATGCAACATACCCATCGCACGGAATCACCTGTGTGCTGCTGACACGAAAACAAAACCCCGAGAAAAGGCACTACGTTCGTGACCGCGATTAACAATGACCGCGAAACATTCGGGCCACAGTACACTGACATCTGTGGTACATTCACTTGCCAGCACGGAACTGTGCGAACGTGAACTGTAGAGTTCCAGCTCGTTTTGCGAAACCCGATTGTTTTCGCACCCCTCGAAAGTTTCGCGCTGGGATATTCGCACTGTTGCTGAGAGTACTCAAGATAAAGATTTGTAAGCGAAAGTTATATATCCACGAAGACACGGGCGATATTCACCACTAAAACCGTGTGTTGCTCGAACCAAAACGAATCGTGCCACGAATTCAGGGGCACAGACAAGTGCGTGAAGAAGTTTTCGCGGTGGCGTTTCTGTCAAAGTTTTCACCACCGACATCCGCAGCTCATTTGCGGCAGCACAGTTCGTACATTTCATGTTGCGAACTACAGGTGTTCCGGGTTAAAGCAACAGTATACTTTTGCAAGCGGGGGTTTCAAAAACCTTAGGAACTTGAAAAACTGGTTACGCGATTACAACCCCAACCCCCCTTGTTGAGAGGCGAAGGAGTCCCCAAACGCCCCACGTCCGGCTCCTCGCACTCACAGTTCAAAACCTTAGGAATTGCAAAAGGAAACTGAAACTGCGGTAGTGAGAGGATAGCCCACACGCTCCTACTTCAGTATGTCATTCCGCGTAGACTAGGCAGCATTCTAACCTAACAGCTAGAATTAGGGACAACATCTGTTACTGAACCACGTAACGATGTTTCCTCGCATGCGCGGACAAATCGCCACGCCTACGCACTCGCTTAGGCCACGCCACCTTAGACAAGGCCACCCCACGCCTCCTCTCGCTACCTCACCGCAAGGCCATTAGCGACAGCGCCTCCCCTCCCCACAATGTCCCGTTTAGCCTCGACGCGCTAGCATCTACATCCCATCCCTTCCTCCACTTCTAGCTCGCCGTCCGCCGTTCGCCGCGCGCGGTGAGCCGCTGCTTCCCGCTCGCCGCTCGCGTGTCCTCCCTTTCACTTTCGCCGTCCGTTGTTCGCCTTTCGCCGGACGACGTCCGGATTGAGACTCCTCTCGCCGAACCACGTTGCCTCGTTCTTTTCTGGTTTATACCCATTCGCGGCTGCACGAATGCTTCTTTACCAGCTCGGTTCATCGGACTGGGCTCGTGTCTCCTCACGCGGCCCCATCGCGACCACCGCCACGCCATCTCCCCTTCCCGCCACGAAAACTCCTCTTCCCGCCACGTCATCTCCCCTTCCCGCCACTCCATCCCCCCTTCTCGCCACATCATCCCCCCTTCTCGCCACGCCATCTCCCCTTCCCGCCACAAAAACTCCCCTTCCCGCCACGTCATCTCCCCTTCCCGCCACTCCATCCCCCCTTCTCGCCACGTCATCCCCCCTTCCCGCCACGCCATCTCCCCTTCCCGCCACGCCTACTCCCCTTCCCGCCACGTCATCTCCCCTTCCCGCCACTCCATCCCCCCTTCTCGCCACGTCATCCCCCCTTCCCGCCAGCCATCTCCCCTTCCCGCCACGCCTACTCCCCTTCCGAGCACGCCCTCATTTCCCCTGCACGCCCTCGTTTCTCCCCCTCGAACGCCCTCATTTTCCCCTTGCACGCCCTCATTTTCCCCTTGCCCGCCCTCATTTCCCCCTTGCACGCCTTCATTTCCCCCTTGCACGCCTTCATTTCCCCCTTGCACGCCTTCATTTCCCCCTTGCATGCCTTCATTTCCCCCTTGCGCGCCTTCATTTCCCCCCCTGCATGCCCTCATTTCCCCCTGCACGCCTTCATTCCCCCCCCTGCACGCCCTCATTTCCCCCTTTTCCCCATCTCCCCTCCCCATTTCCTCATCCCACCACCTCTCCCTGCCTTCCCATCTCTTCTCTTTTCCAGGGCCTGTTATCCGCAACCCGCCCTCTTCAAACTGCTCCTCAAGCGCTGTCCTCATCAGCACCACCACTCTACCTCCCGCTCTCTGTGCCTCTTCCCTCCTTTGTCACTGGTCCACGCTTTGTCTTGCTTCTTGCTCTTCACATCCCCTTTTCCTTCTTCCTCCAGATCGCCCCATCCCTCTCTCTCGCTCCCAATTTTTCCTCCATGTCTCCCCATGTTATTTTCCTTCCCATCGCCCACGGGTTTGGGACGAGGCCCGTCTGCCCTCTCACACTCGCCATGCCTCGCCATGCACTCGTCCTGCCATTCTGACTCAACCTGCAATTCTCTCCGCCATCCCTCCCTGCCTTTCCATCACACCTCCCTGCCTTTCCATCACACCTCCCTGCCTTTCCATCACACCTCCCTGCCTTTCCATCACACCTCCCTGCCTTTCCATCACACCTCCCTGCCTTTCCATCACACCTCCCTGCCTTTCCATCACACCTCCCTGCCTTTCCATCACACCTCCCTGCCTTTCCATCACACCTCCCTGCCTTTCCATCACACCTCCCTGCCTTTCCATCACACCTCCCTGCCTTTCCATCACACCTCCCTGCCTTTCCATCACACCTCCCTGCCTTTCCATCACACCTCCCTGCCTTTCCATCACACCTCCCTGCCTTTCCATCACACCTCCCTGCCTTTCCATCACACCTCCCTGCCTTTCCATCACACCTCCCTGCCTTTCCATCACACCTCCCTGCCTTTCCATCACACCTCCCTGCCTTTCCATCACACCTCCCATCCTTTCCATCACACCTCCCTGCCTTTCCATCACACCTCCCTGCCTTGCCTCCCATGGGTATAGGGCCCCATTATTTACCGCTGTGACACCAGGTGTCATTCAACCCGTACCAGGCGGGTATGCATATGCAAAGCTGCCGGTTTTGCGTCCAAGTCAGCACCATATAAGTGTGCCAATTCCCTCAGCTCCAGCGACAAGCACGACAACGCCTGGGCCAAGCGAGCTTGGCAGTGTGGAGGGGCATTATGTTGCAGGAGTGTGTCGTGGCATGAACATGACACCAAGAGTATATCGCTGTTTAGTATACTTAGAGATGATTGTATGTGTACGTACGATACAACTCAATGTTCCTTTTGGACATCATTGCTGTGCTCATTTTCAGCTGTAGAGATGGCTTATAGAAAGAGAACAGACACCTGAAAGACACGTGGTACATATCAGATGCATGTGAACAACATTTGCAATAAAATTGTGATGTAACATTCAACTACTTTCAACACACAGTGGGAGCTCATGCAAGCCTAGACTGAAGAGGACTGGTCCATCTTGTTCCATGCTGCACTTGAGATCCCTCAGTATGGAAAGCGAAGGCGGTAAACACGGTACTGGTGGTGAGGGTAGAGGGGAAGAGAGAGGGTAAGCAAAGGGAGGAGGGAGCATAAGCAGGGTAAAAAGGGAGGACAGAGAATAAGCAAACTCGAAGGAGCTGATTGGATTGTAAGGGGGTGGAGAGGCATTGCGGCAAGCAGAGGGGGAAAATGAGCGAAAGGAGGGTGAGAAATAGGGGAAGCAGGTGGGGAAAGGAGGGGAAGCAGGGGGGGAAGGGAGGATAAGCATGGGGGGAAAGGAGAGGAGGCAGGGGGGGAAAGGAAGGGAAGCCGTGGGGGAAAAGGGGGGAAGCAGGGAGGGAAAGGAGGTGAAGGAGGGGCGGAAAGGAGGTGAAGCATGGGGGTGAAGGAGAGCAAGCAAGGGGGGGAAAGCAGGGGAAAACAGGGGATGCGGGGGGAAGCGAAGAGAAGCATGGGGGGCAAGGAGGGGAAGCAGGTGGAGAAAGGAGGGCATGCAGGGGGGGGAAGGAGGTGAAGCATAAGGGGAAAGGAGGGGAAGAAGAGGGGGAAATAAGGGGAAGCAGAGGGGGTAACGAGGGGGAGCAGAGGGGGAAATGAGGGGAAGGAGAGGGGGGAACGAGGGGGAGCAGAGGGGGAAAGAAGGGGAAGGAGAAGGCGGAACGAGGGGAAGCAGAGGGGGAAACAAGGGGAAGGAGAGGGGGAACGAGGGGGAGCAGAGGGGAAACAAGGGGAAGGAGAGGGGGAACGAGGGGGAGCAGAGGGGAAACAAGGGGAAGGAGAGGGGGGAACGAGGGGAAGCAGAGGAAGAAATAAGGGGAAGCAGAGGGGGTAACGAGGGGAAGGAGAGGTGGGAACGAGGGGGAGCAGAGGGGGAAATAAGGGAAGGAGAGGGCGGAACGAGGGGGAGCAGAGGGGGAAATAAGGGGAAGGAGAAGGCGGAACGAGGGGAAGCAGGGGGGGAAACAAGGGGAAGGAGAGGGGGAACGAGGGGGGAGTAGAGTTGGAAATAAGGGGATGGAGAGGGGGGAACGAGGGGAAGCAGAGGAAGAAATAAGGGGAAGGAGAGGCTGGAACGAGGGGGAGTAGAGGGGGAAATAAGGGGAAGGTGAGGCGTTAAGCGGTGAGGCACTAAGCGGTGAGGCGCTAAGCGGTGAGGCACGCAGCGGGGTATTAGGAGAGACGCGGGTGACGCGCTAAGAGGGTGTCGCGAGCTGCCGGTTCGGCGATCGAGCTGCGGGTTTGGCGATCGAGGTGCGGGTACGGCGATCGAGGTGCGGGTTCGGCGAGAACGTCGCCGGCGACGGGAACGCATGGAATGCGGCGCTTAGGACGAAGGCTAGTCCTACATCTATCGCGAGGCCTTTGAACGAGTCTATTCATGAGAGAGTGAGGTGTTTGTAGAAATGCTTTCTAAGTAATCTCGCGAGCCAGCCTTGTGACACTTGTCGCCTCGACACCAGCGTTTTTTTTTAGTGCCAGCGCTGTTCCTCGCCGCCCTAGTTGCCTATTGTGTAGTTGTATCGAAGGCCTTTCCTAAAAATGTCGCTCCGTTGGTCTGCTCGTGTCACTCCAAGGCTTGGGTTGACGGGAGACTTTCTCGTGTTCGCAACAATCAGCCATCCAAATTTTCGCCGATTCTCTCGCCAAGCCCATTCGTTTTTCGTTTGGGTTTGCTTTTGGTATGTACTGTTCCAAAACAAACAGTAATTTCAAATGTATACCGCCGCTTTAAAGGCCATTGCTAGATGAGTCCATTTTCCATCTTGAGTAGAATTTTCCGATATTGCCTAGGGTTGTCCCGACCCCTATAGTCCCATCTTTGGTGGGAAATTTTGAGGCTTGACCGAATCATTGCACGAATCAGCTCCGCAGCCAATCAGAGGCTCCAAATTGAACCATCCCAACATCCGGAGAAAATTATAGATAAGGGATCATCGATTCGACATTTAACCTCCAAATTCTAAGTAATTGTTTTTCTTGACCGTGATCACTTCTCAATCCTGTTGCGCGGTCTCCAGCGCGCTCGACGATGACATCACGTTTATCTCGTTTACAGGGTAAAACAGAAGTTTTTACCTTCTAATCGACCCCCAAACCATAGTTTATTTTGTTTTTTTTTTCCCGTTGGTCATGCGAAATTGATCAGCGCGTGGAAGCGTGTGACAAGAAGTTGAAGCCAGCGCGGTCCAAATTTAAGAAAAGGCCCAAAAACCAAACATTTTAGCAAACAAACCACTATTCATGTAAATTGTCTGAACGGGACTATAAATATCGCGTTTTGCCTGGGGTTTGAAAATTTCGGCATACAGTCCACGCGCTTCGGCTCAACCCGTCGGACTATAAGCCGAAACACCTGTACAACAATATATCGAGCAGCAAAAACCTAAATCCGCGAAACCGTCTGGTGGTATAAACAGGCGTAGCAAACTTTCCGCGTGTGCATTTTCCGTTTGTTTCCCGCGGTCAAGTACGCTACAACAAGGTTAACAACGGTTTGGAGACTCTACCGCTTTAAACCGTATTATTATGCGGTCTACCGTACTGAATCCACAAGAGCGAACATTCAAGTTGAAAGTGTCCCGTAAATTTTCGCGTGACCTGATAAAAAGTCTTTCGCGCGGACTTCCCCGCTGAAAATCCGCGAACATACAGGCGATTTGACAAGCGAAGTCAATCTATATCCACGTGTTCACGAATTTGGAGGCAACATGAGTGCGCTAAAAATCACATAAAACGGACAACGCCCGCTCCAGCCACCGACTACATGCTGTGAAAAGTTAGAACGAGAATGGGTGCATTGAGCAGCATGAGGAGTACAAGTACCAAACCCTAGAATGTTGTTACCCATATGAGCTACCCCACTACAGCCTACACAGACTATAGTGTATAAGTTTGACACACCCCCATAGGCAAAGTGGGGGAGAACAAGGGGTCACAAGACCAGTCAAGCAATATAAGGCAAAGCAAGCTCAGGGTGGATCACAACGTCACCACACAGTCTGAGCACAAGTTCAAGGCCACAAGGCCAGTTCACATGCAAGGTCACATATATATAAGGCTAAACAGGCAGGTATATATATGTACAGTACAAGCAAGGTCAAGAAGTAAGCAAGTGAGGCAAGGTAGGTACAAGACCTAACAGAGTGCAGAAGCGCTGATGATCACAAGGCGCGAGTGCCTTAGTGAAGATATCAGCAGTGTTGGCCTCAGAGGCCACGTAAGCAAGGCGCAGCTGACCACGCTGCTGCAGCTCACGAGCAAGAAAGTAGCGGAGAGCGATGTGCTTCGTTCTGTGCTCCAGTCTGTGCTCATGACACAAGGCCAGCATGGCCTTGTTGTCTACGTACAGCACTGGAGGAGAACGAGGCGGCTCTCCCAGGTCAGTCAGCAGGTAGGTGAGCCACCGTAGCTCCTGTGCAGCCATGGCCCCTGCGTAGATCTCAGCCTCACAACTGGAGCCGAGAACAGAAGACGAGCGGGTAGACCGCCAAGAAACAGAGCCGGAACCAAGGCTGAAGGTGTAACCCTGTGACGACCGCTGCGTAGCCTGGTCGTCAGCCCAAGAAGCGTCTGCGTGACCAGTGAGGACCACTGAACTATGCCCTCCAAGCACAAGCCCCATGCCCGACGTACTGCACAAGTAGCGCAACACCCTCTTCGCTGCAGCCATGTGCTCTGGTCTGTGTCTCCCAGGAGCAACAAAGCGTGCCAGAATGCTAAGAGGGTATGCAAGGTTAGGTCGAGTGCAGGTCATCAGGTACATGAGGCAGCCGACAAGCTCTGGGTACGGGCCACTCGACTCTACGGACTCATCCAAAGGCAGAGCTGAGAGCGAGTGGCGTGTAGGCAGAGGAGTGGCCTGAGGCGAGGAGTACGTGAAGCCGAAGCGCTGAAGGACCTGCTGCACCTTGTGTGACTGAGTCAGGGTAATGGTGCGCCGTGCTCTGTCCCGGGTGATCTGCAAGCCAAGGTAGCTGCGCAGTTCACCCAGGTCTGTGCACGTGTGTCTCTTCTGCAGCTCAGACTTCACGTAGGCAAGTCCAGCAGTGTCAGCTGTAGCAAAGACCAAGTCGTCGACGTACACGAGGATGTAGAACGGCGGCAAAGAAGTGTCGGTGCGCAGAAACAACGACGGGTCGGCAGTAGAAGGAGCAAACCCAAGGGCCGCAAGTGTAGTCCTCAGTGTGTCGTGCCACTCACGAGGCGCCTGGCGGAGACCGTAGACTGGCCGCCGGAGGCTCCACTGGGTGCCAGGAGGAAACGTCCCAGTGAAGCCAGGTGGGCGGCGCAGCCAGATCTCCTCGTGCAGGCTGCCCTGTAAGAAAGCAGTGCTGAAGTCAAGAGAGTGCAGCTCGTAGTCTCGGTGAGCAGCTATGTGCAGCAGTATCCGAAGAGTGGTCATCTTCGGGGTGGGGGAGAAGGTCTGAAAGTAGTCAACTCCCTGCCGCTGACTGAAGCCACAAGCCACGTAACGCGCCTTGAAGACAGGCGGAGAACCCGGCGGCCGCTTCACCCTGAAAATCCACATGCCACTGACGATGTTCGCCCCAGGCGGGGGAACCTCGTCAACGTAGGTGCCTGTGGACTTCCAGGAAGCCATCTCTGCGTCCATGGCTGCCTGCCACTGAGAGGAGTAGGGACCCTCTATCGCCTCCGCGTAAGAGCGCGGAGTCGGGATGTCAAGTGCATCCAGGTCTCCCTCCGGGGCAAGCAGCATGGACACGAGATGAGGTGAAGCAGCAGCCAAGCACTGGAACTCCTCCTGCCTGTCCTCAAGGACGTCCGTGCCAAGAGCACACTCACCCCCGACGGACGGAGGACAGACAGACTCAGACTCAGCGACGAGACTGGTAGCGTAGTCTAGGCGACAGCGAGCAGCGAAGTCGACAAGCTCAGCAACCAGGGCAGACGCAGCAGTAGACTCAAAGGAAGGGTCAGTGACGACAGTAGCAAGGAGACGCGTGACAGTAGGACGCGCAGCATGAAGGGAGTCCGACTCCGGGTCAGGAAGGTCAGGAAGAGAGGACGCTGGAGGAGAAGGCAAAGGGGCACGCAGCGGAGCAGTGGAAGGACGCAGAGACATCCGGTGCGTGCCGGGGACAGGGGGAGGACGCTGGCGCGAACCACGACCACTAGTGCGAGCAGCACGGACAGGCGACGCAGGGCGAGACGCAGGCGCACGACGCTCAGCAAGACCTCCAGTAGGACCAGTGTAGGGAGAAGGAGAAGGAAGCGGGGAAGGTGGCTGTAACTGTGACTCAGACTGGACAGGAGGCGGACACTCTAAGGCAGGAGCAGGACCAAGAGAGGACGGAAGACCAAGAACCTGCTCAAGGAGCGGAACGAAGTACGGCCGCGGCCGCGTAGCTCCACCAGTGCCAGCAGGAACAGCACCAGCACCCCCAGCGGGAGCACCAGCACCAGGAGGACCCTCAGCTCCAGCAGCTCCAACTCCAGCACCCTCAGCAGCACCAGCGCCAGGAGCACCCCCAGCGCCAACACCCCCAGTAGCTCCAGCTCCAGCCGGACCACCCGAAGACGCAGCAGCTCCAGCTCCAGGAGCTCCAGCAGCACCAACGCCAGCAGCACCAGCAGCACCAGCAGCACCAGCAGCTCCAGCTCCAGGAGCACCAGCAGCACCAACGCCAGCAGCACCAGCAGCACCACCAGCTCCAGCAGGAGGAGCACTCGTAGGGCCAGCAGCTCCAGTACACTCGGTACGAGCACCGATGGGACCCTCGGCACCAGCACTCTCAGCAGCAGTAGAACCTCCAGCTCCTGCAGCACCACCAGCTCCAGCAGCACGTCGCCAGCGCCGGGCGAACCACTCACGCAGCTCCTGTGGAGAGAGCAGCTCCCGCCGGGACGAAGCACCCGAAGAACTGTCAGGCTCAGCACCACGAGACGCCGGACGAGCAGGTCCAGCACCCTCAAGCTCCGCACTCCGAGACTCAGCAACCGCAGGCTCAGCACCCCCAGGCGCAGCACCCCCAGGCTCAGCACCCCCAGGCCCAGCACCCCCAGGCTCAGCACCCCGAGTCGCAGCACCCCCAGGCCCAGCACCCCCAGGCTCAGCACCCCCAGTCGCAGCACCCCCAGACCCAGCACCCCCAGGCTCAGCACCACCAGCAGCACAAGAGTCAACAGCTACCTCGACTGGCTCAACTGCATCTACCTGGGACACACCTGAGGGAGCAGGACCCTGAGGGGGGAGGGGGTCTACCGGAGGGGGACCTGGTGTAAGGAAGAGCGGCGGGGGAGGGAGGGACGCACTGCGGTAGGGGAAGAGACGGTAATAGGGAACCGACTCGT